AAGGATGATCTAAACCATTGGTTTTCAATCGTTACAACCCGGGATCAATTCCTGCATTAGGCACTTTTTTCTAATAAAAAAAAAAGCCTCAATGGCCCCCGATTCTTGCAAAAGTTTAACCCCACCAGCGAATGCAAGTAACCAAACGCGGCTCTGGCACATTTTTAAGTGCGAAAGTCGAACTGCTTTTCACATGTGTAGGCATGTGGTGCACTAACTACCCACCATGATTACAATGGCCTGTACCATGTGTACTTGGGATAAATAAAAAAAAAGAATTAATTAATCCAATTTGTGTTTTGTATGTATAATGTCATCTCTTTCAACTTAGGATTGCAGCCTGTACTAGATGAAATATAGTGAGACACTGTGGTGGTGGGCAGACTGGAGAGCTACTCCTGCAAGCTGGTGGCCGAGGAGAAGAAGCTCTACAAGGTGAAGATGGTGGAGGACTGGAAGGAATATGAGGAGCAGGCCCTCAGTCCACCGGAGCACTGCTTCGTGTTCCCCGGCTGCAGCCCCAGTGTGTCTGCCGGCACCATCAGCAACAAGACTCTGTTCTACCTCATCGCCACGCTGAACGCTTCCTTCTGCCCCGACTATGACTTCAGCCAGGCCCACAGCGAGGAGTTCAGCCAGGTGCCTGACTTCAATGTGAGTGCTGTCTTTGCTACTCTCTGCAGCTTATCTAAAACTTCACAATATAGGACTTTCTTTTGTAGTACAGTAGATCCTCCCTGTAAAGGACACCTAATTGCAGAGCAAAAGTGTCCTTTAGGGAGAGGTGTCCTCTTACCAGAGAATTGTTAAATAGTAAAAAGGATAATTTTGACAATGAAAACTGACCTTTAGAGAGAGGTGTCCTCTAGCTGGAGTGTCCTCTAATGGAGGTTTTACTGTATATCTGAATTGGTCATCCACCAAGAACTTGGCTTCCTAGCACAATTCAGACATTCCAGGCAGCACTGGTGGAAACATTAGGCCATTTATAACATGACATATTAGTGCACCATCTGTTATAAGAGAAACTATTTTAGATGTGTAGGATTATTTTAGAAATTCTCTACTGCCCTTACTCTAAAAAGACTACTTGATGTTTGCTGAAGAGAAATTGCTTGAAGCATTTTATACAGTAAAACCTCCTTGTAAAGGACAACACCTAATTGTAGAGCCAAAGTGTCCTTCAGGGAGAGGTGTCCTCTTACTGGAAAGTTGCTAAATTGTTAAAATGGTAATTTTGTAAATGAAAACTGTCTTTTGTGGAGAGGTGTTTTCTAGAGGGGTGTCCGCTAAAGGGTGGTTCTACTTTATAATTCTATGTATTTCTACTGTTTTCACACAAAGCTTATATCCATAGTTCATTTAAAATACCATTTCCAAGAGGTCAGCTTCAGTATCAGTATAACAGGAAACCAGCCAAATGCAAAATTACAGCGGTATGGTAGATTTGATAGATGGGTCATCAGCAACACACAATCAAGAGATGTTCTTTTAATACATAATCTATCACACCTCTGATCCTTAAATCTTTTCTTCCCTACTTTTAAACTCTTTTTAAACATAAATCTCTCAATGATAAGCACAATTTGGATTATAGATTATAATACAAGAAAATAAGACCTAATCCAAAAAATTTAATAGTGTGTGACGTTTCAGCAACAGCATTGTCACCATCATCAGACAAAAGAATAAAATGATTTATTCTTTTTTTCTGATGATGGTGACAATGCTGTTGCCGAAAGGTCACACACTATTAAATTTTTTGGATTAGGTCTTATTTTCTTGTATTATAAATCTTTTAAATTTATAAATAATACATGGAATTGTATTTACATTAGTTGATGGGCAAGATTGTTCTTTTTAAGGCTTGAATTCAAATTGCTCACTCAAAGAGCAAACTCTTTTTTATGGCTCACCACCTGCACTTGTCTGCCACTTGGAAACAGACAGTCTGTGAAGTCTGTGAACCTAAAACCTGGTAATTTTAGCAATGAAAGCTGTCCTTTGTAGAGAGGTGTTTTTGTTCTGTATAGCAGACAAAGGCAGGATCTCCCCCAGACACTCTCCCTCTCTATCTATATTTAACCCCCCCTCCCCACCCCCACTAAAATATCTTTCTTAGAAGATTTTTCTAATTCCCTTAGGTGAAACTCATGTAGGACAATAGAACCTATCCATAACTCCTCCTCTGGAGACACCTGGTTTCACTGGATCAATAAATCTGCTCATTTTTAATTTGAAGGTAGCTCAGGGAGGTCATTGATGTAAGCCATTATCTCTAGAAACAAATTCCCTTCTAGAAAATAGTTGTTATTTATTGGTTGATGAATAAAATTGAACAAGTTGAATATCAACCTTATATTTTTCATTCCATAATTTCTGCAATTCACTACAGCCCTTTCCATGAAAAATTGGAGTATTGTACTTGTATATATATACAATCAGTAAAGGACACTTTGGCTCTGCAACTAGTAGTCCTTTGCATATGTTTTACAAAACATGTCTGGTGCATAATATATATAGGATTTATGGAATATTTGATTGAGTTTAAAAAGACATGAAATTTTGATCAAATTGGTCCGGTCCCTGTTTCTAAATTAACCATGTGGCCAAGCATTATCATGTTTGTTGTGACTATTGGCGTATTGCAGCCATTTTTCTCGCAATGCTCGGCTCAAACACATCAATTGTCTTGGGCAGACCTCCTCTGTGATCCTTTCTTTCCTTTGTAGCAGCTCATAATATATCACTCCTAGCTGGTCCCACCAAATACACAGCATAATCTTCTCGGCATGAATATTCGGCTTGGCTGTCGATGATGAGGGTATCCATACATTGCCCGTTGCTTTGGATTTTTTAGTGAATTCACTTTCATCACTCTATATAATTCTATGCAAAAATCCCTTTCTTTTTTGACGTTGAAGCATTTGTTTACACATGAAAAAAAAACAAAACTATTTTCGACGTCTCTTGGCTTCAGTTCATACGGCACCCAATTTCCTATCTTTTGGATCATTCCCATTTCTTTTAAACAATGAAAAATGACTGGTTGAGCGACTCCAAGTGTTTTTGTGAGTTACTTTTGTGTTTGTGTTGGATCTTCATCAAGCCTTTCCTCTAATTCTTCATCCTCAAACTTTGGTGGTGCTCCGGGTCTTTCTTTGTCTTTCAAATCAAAATTGCCACATTTAAACTGGGCAAACCACTTCTGATAGGTTCATTCAGCTAGAGCATAGTTATCATAAACTTCCACTAAAATACAATGACTCTCATTAGCCTTTTTCTTCGTAATGAAGTAAACTCCCTGCAAAAAAACACACATTATTTGGTACAAAAGTTGACATTTTAGGAGCAAACAGAAACTAGGTTGTTTAGACTTCATAGAAATGAGGGTTACTGAAAAAGGAAGCCTTATGATGACACTTCAAAATAATGGTGTTGACAGATGAAACAATAGAATAATAAACTAGTAGTGCCATCTTTATCAAAACCAACTGCACAAACTTATTTATACTCCCAATATATGTCAGTGAAAAATATTTTTGTAACAAATTTTACAATGACATGTTCACTAAATTTAAAAAATGGAAAAATATATATAAATTCATTGTTGTTGTTGTTTATTCCTCAAGTCATTTAAACAATCTCCATTAGGTGCTATTGTCTCAGTTTTTCTTGGGGTTATCCCAGAGGTTTTTTTTTAGAGGATTTGATACAATTCAATGGATGTTCAGGACTGGCTGGGAATCGCTTTTGGGGCATTTCGGAATGTTTTGATTTTTCCATTAAATTTGAGCATTCTAAGATGTCCTGGAGAAGGAAAGAGGGGTGCTGTTGGTCTGAAGACCTGGAAGTACAACTCAGTGTAACTTTGCTTCTTTTGGTCTCCTGACATGGAGTGTAGCCTCTATGGAGAACAGACGATTGATACATTAGCCGGGTGTGTAGCTGCATTATGTTCACAGCAATATATTATAGGAATCATATCCCCCAAAATAATAATTGCCATTTATCACACAATGGATGGCAATTTTAATGGTTTTACTTGGTATAACTTTGGATGTAACTGAAAACTTCTTTTGCTGACTAGCAATTGGTAAATACTCCAGTATTGAAACAATTTTATACAATTAATTAATTTTGTAAATATAGTAGAACCTCCCTTTAGCAGACACCTCTCCACAAAGGACAGTTTTCATTTGCAAAATTTTTACTATTTAGCAACTCTCTGGTAAGAGGACATCTCTCCCTAAAGAACACTTTGACTCTGCAATTAGGTGTTGTCCTTTACAGGGAGGTTCTACTGTAATACAAATTCTTGGATCATAATAAAATATATGTTCCTTAATTTTCAAATTTTTTGACTGAAAAATGCAAATACAGTAGAACCTCCATGAGCGGATACTCACACTAGAGGACACCTCTCTATAAAGGACAGTTTTTATTTGCAAAATTGTCGTTTTTACAATTTAAAAACTCTGGTAAGAAGACATCTCTCCCTAAAGGAAATTTTGGCTCTGCAATTAGGTGTTGTCCTTTACAGGGAGGTAGTTGTACTGTATATTAGAATAATAAATAAAAAGTTTCTCCGAGTTTCCTGCTTTATTATATACTCAAACTTTGAAAATATGATACTCCTGTAGAAGGGTTTGCAAAACCTGAAAGCTTGAAAATAAAATAGTCAATAAAACAAGAAACTCAACCTCGGAAGCCATTTTATTTATTACCCTATATATATTGTAGAGGATTTTACTTTTCCAAAAGTAGTGATTATTTTAAATAATTATTCTGTGCATATATATAACTAGCCGAATGACCCGGGCAACGCCCGTGTTTTACCCGACTGTAGATGTTACAACGGTGATCCTTAGGTCGCTGGTTCAAATCCGGCTCGAGGGAGCATCCGTGACAGAGGCGGCCGATGACGGTCGTGACTATATATATATGTAGAAATAGGATTAGTTGACTTTATAAGGTAAACTTATTCATACAGTTTATATCCCTCGATAGCTCAGTTGGCAGAGCAGAGGACTGTAGGTAGATGTTACAACGGTGATCCTTAGGTCGCTGGTTCAAATTCGGCTCGAGGGAGTTTTTTTTTTTATTTTTATTGGCTGCCGGCGAGCACGTGACCTCCCTGTGCGCGCGCATCCGTGACAGAGGCGGCCGATGACGGTCGTGACTATATATAGGGATGTAGAAATAGGATTAGTTGACTTTATAAGGTAAACTTATTTATACAGTTTGTATCCCTCGATAGCTCAGTTGGCAGAGCGGAGGACTGTAGATGTTACAACGGTGATCCTTAGGTCGCTGGTTCAAATCCGGCTCGAGGGAGTTTTTTTTTTTTTTAATTTTTATTGGCTGCCGGCGAGCACGTGACCTCCCTGTGCACGCGCATCCGTGACAGAGGCGGCCAATGACGGTCGTGACTATATATAGGGATTCCTGAACATTTTAGTCACCAAAATCATAGTTATAATCATAATATAGTTTTGTGATAAAGAGATTACATATGAATAGGAGTGGTGTTATTTTGAAAAGTACTCAGTTTTGAGGAAGGTACAGTTAAACGTGTCTATAGCACCCCCTCTCTATAGTTGTAGTTGCACTCACTCAGTGTTGTGATTGCAGTGGGCCAAGCGGGCCATAGATGACTGCCTCTACGCTGGAGCCCATGAACAGTACAAGGAACTGCAGCCCCATGTGTGGAGTATCCTTGACCAAGAGATTTCAATGGCTGATTGCGACATTTACAGGTGCCTCTTTGAACCCGTTGCTGTTGTTGTTTCTTATCCCTGATTACCTGCTAGATCATCCCATATATCTCCCTGACCATGTGTCAAGATGTTGTTATTTATCCCAATTGGACATTGGTGTGAGAGAACCTTGCTAATTTTGATAGTTAATGTTTCCACTGCTCTCACTGTAAGTACACCACATGTCTAGACATTGATACAAATTATTGCAACCCTGAACACATTGCAATCAGGAGAGTTAGGGGACCAAATTTTTATAACTTTAGTGATGGGACATTAGTGTTAGTTGTGGCAGTGTCTTTGCCTATGTCCTGTTAGAAGCCATACTTCTTCCTTCCTTTGACTGTGATAACCATCTGAGTCCTCATAATGGGCCCCAGGACATTGATGTCAGCATTCATCCTGAGGCTCTGCTTTTAGAAGTAGAGAGACACCGATGACGCCAAGGATCATCACAGAGGAGGAAATCACATGTGCATCATGGCATGTATCTCTGAGGGGTTATTAAAGATCCAACGATCATTCCTGGAACTCACTGTTTTACCTTGGTAAAAGAGTGTTCTATCAAGGAAGAAAAACTTCAGCATGCCACAAATGTCATGTGGGGGGAGCAGCCTTTCTGTCATCATTCACATCCTCAATCAGCATATGGTCAAAGCCCATCTCCTTTCTCATGACTTCTCAGAGTCTGTTTAATCTCTTCTCCTTGACATTTTTGACAAATTCTTTGTCTCTAACTGTCCAATCTATATGTTTTTTCTTAAAACGGATCCCTTTTTGTCACTGCCAGCTTCATCAAACTGCTTCTTGACATGACAAATAGTGATTTTTGGCAGCTTAAGAAATTCATTATCACTTTGGGACTCTTGCTGGCATACACAGCAATGATGGTGATGGCTTTAATATTCTATTCCTTCTTCATTACACTCACTCTGTACTGTTACACTTGCTGACATCTAACTTGATTAGCTACTATCTCTGTACCAGTTTTAGTCTTTGTACATTTTTAGTAGCTTCAAGGTTTTTGACTCTGAGCTTTCTTTCCAATTATAAGGCCCAAATCTATTCCCACATAGTTGGATGGATTGCTCTATTTCAATGAAGCTGACAGTTTATTTTGTATTATAGTGAAAATAATTTTTCTCTTATCTATTTATACCAGATGCTTTTTTTGGTCCTCTCATTTCTTTCATTTACTACATTTCCAAAGTTCCCCAATTTGGTCTCATGCCTCTATAAGGAGGTTGGGGTCAATAATCTTACATTCTATTGATGATGGTATAGAGTTGGTTGGTGTTTTATCAATTATAGCACTTGGTGGAGAACTAACTCCATGGTTGATAGAAATAAATTTGGCATGATCTAGCTGTACCAAAGCTCTTTCTGCTTGTATGGACAGATATATTCCACAGAGATAACCTCTGATCCTTTGGAAAATCACGAGGCTCAGAACCATGGTGGGTTGTTGTTGTTGTTTTTTATCCCCTTGTGTAAAGAAAACACAAATTCCAAGAGTTGATGCTCCTCGAGCTGTTTTATGGTAAGCAGTGGCCTCTCCCAAAGGTCCTGTTTAGTGCATCTAATGCAATTTGTTCTGGAGCTACATTTTGGGCAAGTGGGGTAGATTTTGTTATTATTTCTTTATCTTCAATGGCTTGAGATGGCCTGTTCTAAATCTTGTAAGTGTCGTTTGATGCTGTCTGATGTTCAGAGCTCCTCCTGGGTCCACTCCACTGTACCAGCTGTGCTTAAGTGGGATCCTCCAATTCTTGTTTATTTTTGTTTTAGCTACTGTCTCACCTGTGGGTGGTTGCAGCTATAACCCAGAGCTGGAACCTTTCGGAGATGAAGGTTGTCTTTGGACCTTCAACTACTTCTTCTATAACAAGAAGCTGAAGAGGATTGTCTTCTTCACCTGCAAGTCCATCAGGTATTGCTGAATCTCTCTTTCTTTAAATCATTGAAGTAAGGCTGTCACAATACTATGGTGGTGGATATGCCATAACACCAGTTTTGGAATATTTAGACAAAGCCAAGCTGTAAACCATGGTTCTGGGTTATGGCCCTCATCAGTACAGGGGTGGTTTTGATTTCATAACATCCTACAAGAGGAGTGGCATTATAGATTATAGCTACAAGAAAATAAAACCTAATATTGTTTGTGACATTTCAATAACATCATTGTTATCATCATCAGACAAAAGAATAAAATCTGTCTGATGATGGTAACAATGCTGTCATTGAAATGTCACACACTATTAATTTATTTAGATTAGGTGTTATTTTCTTGTATCCTATGAGAAGAGTTATGGAATTGATTAAATTTGCCAAAAAGTGCTCAAGCTGGTGAAGGCAGGTTTTCTGGCCAGGAAGTTGGGATTGATGTACCCAAAGAGGCATCTCTCCCATTAAAAATGTTTTAAAATAATGCATTCTTGTTACTTATATTTCTAATCTATAATCCAAATTATACTTTAGCATCAAATTTAGGAGATGTGTGTGACTAAATAACCTGGGCTCAGCTGGCCCGGCTGATAGTACCCTGTAAGGGCTCCTAATCCAGGGATACAGGATTAGCAGCGCTTGTACTCCATGTTAGGAGCGGCTGCACATGGCGTCTGTTCCTCATGTCAGAGGCGGCCATTTATTTTGGAGCTAAGTCGGCCTGCCACTGAGTAGTGCTCCCAGTCTTAATGACAAAGGCAGACGCATTCTACTTCACCCAGTCATGAATGATTGAGTGGAGATAAGAAAGAAGAAGAATGTGTGTATGAGGATTTCAAAACCACTCACATTTAATCTTCATACTCAGTGACTTCAGGTAATGTGGTGCCATATCTCCAGCTAAGCACCAAGGAAGGGGTGATGGACAGGTAACACAGGTTTAATTGGGGCAACAACATTTACTTTGCAGGAGTTCCATATTTTCTGTACTAAATATGGTCATTTTACTTTTTCACATTTTAAATATATTTGATAAGGCACAATTTGGATTATAAATTATAAACACAAGGCAATAAGACCAAATCCAAATAAATAAATAGTATGTGACGTTTCGGTAACAAAGCTGCTACCGAAATGTTACATGCTATACCTTTTACCTTTATACCTCATCAAGTCGCATTTTAAGTTGACAAATTTTAGAAGAAATATATTTGATTATAAACATAAGGTAATAAGACCAAATCCAAGTAAAAAATATAATTGTGTATTTGAATTTGGTCTTATTACCTTGTGTTTATAATCTTTATAATTCAAAATGTGCCTTATCACTTCTATAAAGGTAATATAAAATTTAATCTCATGGCTTCATCTATCTTACAGCATGGTTTGTTCGACAGAGATCCTCAATTATAGGAACACAATAGAACTTTTAGCTGCATATGTAGATTCTGGCTGGATTCTCAGGTAAAATGTGGTGTGTCCACAGAGGGAGTCCCGTTTACTCTGAGGAAGACCCGGAGGAAGTGGATATGGACTTGGCCTGAGTGTGTAGTCGTAGCTTTCATAGTGTTTCTTTCTCTCTCTCTCTCTAGATGCTCTCAGTGGTTTCTATTTTTGTAACTTAGTCTCTCTCTGTTGTATAATTAAAGTCTGTTTTATCTACTTGGTGTTGTCATTTTTCAAAGCCTTGTAAACATAGGGATTTGTCTTAGATGTTAAATGCCACAAAGTACAAATTATAGTCTTACAGGAAACCAAATTAAATGAAAAATACAAATTGAAATATAAAAACTACAATATCCTCAGAAAAGATAGAAGTACATAAGTGGGTGGCCAGGCATTTCTTATAAAAAATTGGTGCAATTCGAATAATCTACAGGTTCATAAACTCTTGTGTCAAATACAAAAGTCCACTAAACCCCATTGTATAGTGAGGTTTCCAGCACAACTTTGTTGTTGCCAAAAGTACACAATGGGGAAATTACTCTACCATCCCCTAATGGAGCTACTTCCTGCAGCTATGTTGGGAGACATGTGGATTATTGGTTCAGAGATTATTGTTGATAAACCCAGATACCATTTGTGTTTTAATCAGGATGGTACAAAAACTACACATGATGTATATAAAGTTATCACTTTATTGCAATGGTACAAAACAACATACTTGCCTTCAAACTGCCGCCTGAAGATTCTTGGTGTAATGGATATAACTTGCAGAGCTCCATACAGTGTATGTCCAGCCTTGCTGTTGACAGACCCACTCGTGCCAATGTCCACAGAGCGATCCACAGTCCAGTCACCAACCCAGCCAGGCCAACAGCTGCTATCCACTGGGATGTCTGCTTTGGTACACACCGACCATGCTGACTTGCTGTCAAACTCCTCTAA